CTCTCATCTCCCCCCAGCCCCTGTCTCCCTCCCAGCCTAGTCCGACTCTCCCCACCCCGGTTTCACCCCTCCTCCATCCCCAGAGCCCCCCCCGCCCCTGCCAGTCGTGCCCCAGAGCATCCTCAGGGTGAAGAACCAGGCGAGGCCCGTGGCACAGCGAGTCCTTTATCGGGGGGGAAGATGGGGGGCAGCCGGAGCCCCTGGGCCGCCCCCCCCGGGGCAGTCAGGAGGAGGAGGCGCCGCGTCCCAGCGCCGCCACCGCCCGCGCCGCCTGCTCGGGGACACGGGCAGGGTCGCTGAGGATGGAGGTGGAGACGCTCAGCTGCCGCAGGGAGCTCAGGACGGCTGCGGGGACAAGGGACAAGGGGGACAGGTCACTGCCCGACGCCCCTCGGGGGCTGCGAGGGGTGACCCACCCTGCGGGAGATGGCGCTGCCCATCCCTGCTCCAGCTGCTGGAACAGTGGGACAGGTCCCTGCCACAGCCCCCAGCAGATGGGGCGAAGGGAAACCCACCCTGTGGGGCTTTGGGGAGGGCTGAGCCTGCCCTGCCAGGACACCGGGTTAGGGCACAGAAAGCTCATCTGGGAGGTGGGGATGAGAGGAGCAGGGCAAAGCACTGAGAGCAAGCCCCGGGACATCCCACGGATCAGCCCCTCCCTCCTTCCCTCAGGACACCGCTGTCGTTTTCCCCTCAGCCTTTCCCTTGGTACCCACCCAACTACCTCAGGACACCTACTCGGCCGAAGCGCTGGGAGGGAGCAGTGCTGGTCCAGCCAGGCCAGGGATGTCTGGGTGAGGCTCTCCATGCTGGCCGTGGACACCATCCCATTGAAGGACTCGAAGAGGGGCCGCATGATGATACTGAACTGGTGGGAGCAGAGGAGTTAAGGACCAGCCCTTGCCACAACCATGGGCTCCCACCTGCCAGGCGTGGGCATCACCCCCCTCTCTGGGGTAGTGGGAGAGCTGTGTAACCCCTGTCATGACTGCCAGCAAAGTGCCCAGGAGCAGGGTGGGACACCAGTGTGTCCAGTGTGCTCCCCCAGCCTGCAGGGACCAGGGATTTTGATCTGGGAACCAGAATCTGGGACGGGTGATTTTGTGCATGCAGTGATCCACACAGATACCTCCAGTGTCCTGGAGCCCATGTTGGCTTTAGGATACTCAGTGTCCTGAGGAAGGAGCTCCCCAACTCTGAGGAGAGGGGCCACCTCTCCCTCACCCAGATGTCCTGCACTGGATGTGACTGTGGGCAGCTGTGCCTGCCCACCCTTCTGCCACTTGGGATTTCACAGGCCTCACAGTCTCTGCAAGATTAATGGTCCCAGTGTGTCTAATCCCTGCTCACGGAGGAGCAGATCCAGCCCTTTGCTCACAGGTTTCCTTGCCCTTGGTCCTCTCCTTTCCTGGATTTCCAAGGTGTGCCATGCAGCCACCAAGACCAAGCCATCATGTCCCCAGCCTTGTGTCTGGACCTCTCCTAATCCCTGGTTGATGGCTGCTGCCTCTCAGAGCCCGCTCCCATCTCACCAGGAGCAATTCCCTTCACGAGCTCAGCTCCACTTTCCATTTCCCTGAAGACTAATCATTTATTCCTGCTATTTTTGCTCCCTTGTAACAGAAGACTCCTCCTAACCACAGCATCTTGGCATGTTCCCACCATGTGCCCTTGGCTGGGGAACATCTCCTTGGGTCTCCTCCAGGGCCTATAGAGCCAGAGGGACCCCAGAGACCTGGCAGCAGCGGGTGAACCAGAGCACCTGGTGTCTGGTGGAGGGGTCAGAGGGAGCAGCAGGCACTGGCCCCAAAGGATACGATCCAGAACTTCCAGTTCTGCAGCGTGGAGGAGCGGACGTACTCGTCGAACATACCGCGCATGTGGTCGAAGCGCTGGCGCGTGATGGGCACCCCCGTGGCTGGCAGCTGCTCCTGGCACAGGCTGTGGGGCACAAGCAGTGCCGTGGGGCCGTGTTTGGGAGGCACAAGGGCTGCCCATAGGGCCCAACAGGACCTCAGAGGCTCCCTCAGGACTCAGCTCTCAGCAGGGGTGGGCAAGCAGTGTCCCTCTCCCACGCTGGTCCCAAGCAGCAACTGCCTCTTGAGCATCAGCCCTCTCCCAGCCAGGGTTTTAGGAGGTTCAGGTGCTCCAGGAAGACCTACCATGTCTTGCTGCCACCCCAGCACTGCCACTTGCTCTGCCTGGACACCCTGAAGCAGGCAGTGCCCCCCAGCCACATCCCCCCTTACTTGATGGAGCTGTTGAGCTCCTCGATCTGCTCCCGCAGCCGCTGCGCCTCGTCCTGCAGAGCTGCCCGCTCCTGCTGCAGCTTGCAGATGTACTCGGCTGTCTTCTGCAGGGTGGTGGCCTTGCTGACCTGGGGGGCCACAGGGTGAGAGGGGAAAGGGGACCAGATCACCCTGGCACAGTCTCCAGAGCCCAGACCGCCCTGGCACGGCCACACGGTGCAGGTCTCCCCGTGCCTACAGGGGCAGGAGCTCTGTGCTCTGGGGCAGAGCGGGGATGCAGCATCCCCAGGTGTGACACACCGTGTCCCTGCGTGCCCAGAGCTGGGCCTGGGTGCTCACCTTGATACTGGGCTGGGTGCTCAGCGTGCTGACCAGGCTGTGCAGCGTGGTAAAGCCCAGCTTGATGTTGAAGCGCCTCTTCTGCTCGGCGGAGATGTGCGTGATGCGGCGGCTCTCCAGCTGTGGGGCAGCGCTGTCAGGCACCTCCCGGCAGCGGGGGCAGCCACGGGCCACCAGCCCCAGCAGGGACAGGCTGGCCCAAAGCTTGCAGTGAGGGTGGATGGAGTTTTGGGGGGACAGGAGGAAAGGGGGGTGCATATGGAGCTCCTGCCGTACCTTGTTGGACTCAGGCCTGCCCCGACGGGGCACGGTGTGGTGCATGGAGATGCCAGTGCCCAGCCCTGCAGTCAGTCCTGGAGAAGCCTGGCTGGGCTTGCGCCAGTTGCTGCCTGGAAAATGGAAAATGCTGCTTTGGGGAGAGGGCAGCAGCAGCCCCTTGTGACAGAGTGACACGTGTCACACACTGGCACAGGCACAGGGAGCACCCACAGCCCTGCCCCTACCCTGGGGCACGCACCCCTCTGACTGGGATGCTCCGCTCCAGCCTCTTAACCACACATTACCCCAAATCCCACTCATTTACAACTGCTCAGAAATGGGAACATCTGGGATGGGACATTTTAGATTCCCGGTGTTTCTTGGGGTGGAAATATCCAGCAAGAGTCCCAAGGGCAGCGAGGTTGTGGTGTGCAGCACCAGACTGAACTGGGAACGGCACCAGAGCCTGGTTTCCAGCGGCCGCGCTGGTTTCCGCGGGTGAAAGCAGGCACTTCCTGCTCCAAAACCAAGCTCCGGGGTTTCAAAACCACAGTCAGACATTTTGCTCTGTTTTTGTCTTTTCCTATTTCTGCTTTTTGCCCCTGTAGAAGGAGGCAGGTGAATGGGCTGCGCCTTCCCCGAGGGGAGGAACCTTCTGTGCTCGGTTGGGTGAAGGGAAATAGCTGGGACTGAAGCCGAAATGAAACATTCCCACAACGTTTGGTCCAAGCTCTCTGCAGGAATAGTGGTGCCCTGTGGAGCTCCTTGGGGTGCCCCTGACTTACCACAAGCTGAGGTGGGGGACAGCTGCTCTGCCTTAGGGACTCTCAGGGAGCCCGGTTGCGTGCCCGCCAGCGGCACCGGCACCACTGGGGAAGGGCTGGAGCCAGGATCCAGTCCTGGGCTCAGCTGGGCTGTTCTGGAGAGGAAGGTGGCAGGGACTTTGGGAACAGTGCTCTGCTGCTGGGAGAAGGCAGAGGGAAGGGGAGTTAGGGGGTCAGCACCCCACATTTGGCACTGAAAGCCAAACCTCCACAAGGCAAAGGGAAGTACAATCCCATTGAACCATCTGCAGAGGCAGCTTTAGCCCCAGAGCCCCAGGAAAGGTGTGTCTCCCACCTCTGCCCTGGTTCTTTTACAGAAGACACTCAGGTGACTCCTGCCACCTCCAGCCACATGTCCCCTCCTTTCCCCCGTGTCTGCCCAGCCCACAGCAAAGTTTGACTCCCTCTGAGCCCTGTCCCCCCCGCCCCTTCTCCCCCTCTCCCCCAGCAGCCAAGAGGGGGCAATTCCCAACCTGGATAGGGCAATTCCCAACGTGGGGAGGGGGGGACAATTCCCAAGCTGGGAGGTAGGTGAGTGCTTACCGGGGAG